TAGGCGCAAGTGATTCTCCTGCTTCAGCCTCCTAAGTAGCTGGGATTACAGGTGTGCACCACTGCACTAGGCTACTTTTTGTATTTTTTGTGGAGAGGGGGTTTTACCATGTTGCACAAGTTAGTCTCGAACTCCTAAGCTCAAGTGGTCCACCTGCCTTGCCATCCCAAAGTGCTGGGATTACAAACATGAGCATCATGCCCAGCCTTCTTCCATGTCTTAAATTCAGGCAAGAAAGTAAATTCACTTCATGTCACTCCATCTTGTTGAAAAATGGAAGGCCCTTCTCTCCTCACACTTTTTCTCTTTCTTTAGTGTTAGGCTCATGTTTGAGGATGGGGGTGTTCTCCGTGGTCTTGGTCCAATCTCAGTTTTGGGCTGGCTTTTGTGCTAGTACCTTACAGCCTTCCTACCCCCACCCCACGCAATGGCAGATTAGGCAATACACATGCTTCCTAAAGGGAGTGATTAGTTGAGGGAGAACTGACATCTTTAACCATGAGTCTTCCCAATTCAAGAACGCGGTATATCCTCTGCTTTATTTAGACTATCTTTATTTTCTCTCAAAAATGTTTTCTTGTTTTCAGTGTAGAGGTCTTACACATCTTTTGTTAGATTTATTTCTAGTCTTATTTTTTTTAATGCTATTGTTACCATGCATTTTTAAAAATTTGTGTCTGGTTTATAGAAACACAATTGATTATCATGTATTAACCTTATATTCAGAAACTTAGATAAATTCACTTATTCTAATAATCTATAGATTCTTTGGGTTTTCTTGGTATATAATTATATCGTCTGTGAATAATAACATTTCTTCTTTTCCAGTCCTTATTCCTTTTGTTTTTCTTGCCTTATTGTGCTAGCTAGGCCTTCCAGTACAATGTTGAATAGAAGTGGTGATAATGGTCATCTCTGTCTTGTTTTCAACCTCCAGGGGTAAGTTTTCAATATTTTACCATTGACTATGATGCTTGCTGTCATCTTTTTATGGATATTGTTCATGAATTTTTCAATATAAATGAATTTTTCAGTTATAACTGAATATTGAACGTGACATGCTTTTCCTATACCTATTTGGATGATCATATGAATTTTTTCCTGAACTGCTGTTATATGCCTGGAGTAAATTCTTTTTTATATATGGCATTCTGTATGTATAGTACTAGATTTTATTTGCTAATTCATTGATATTTTTGCATCTGTGTTCATGAGTGAAATTAGTGTGTGATTTTCCTTCCTTTTAATGTCTATGTTAATTTTTGTTATGGCTATACTGGTTTTTTTTTT